ATGTTATTCACATATATTATCACTAGGTTTTATCATAAAACAATTGTTATTTCAAAAGCTCTTTTAATGATAAGTCAACATAAGACTATTTAATGGCTGTAACATGAAGGTTCATGTAGGTGTTTGGAGCTAGAATGAGTAGACACCATTTCATGAACATTGTATCAAAGACTTCCAAGTAAAAAGGATTTTACACTTTTTTGGAGGCATGGCTTTCATGCATAAAAAACAAAACAGTTTTGATATTTAACTCACGTTCCCAATTCAGCCAAAACCATGAAAACAATCTCTGAATTCTCCCCAAGAAAGGTTCATCATCTCCACATAATGTTTAATTCTAGGGATCTAGAGTTTGTTCAGAACTAAACTGAGCACCCTCCTCTCTCTCCATCTCCCTCTCAGCAGCCTCCGGGGAACCAAAAGTTTGATGGTTTGTACTCAACTCCCACATCCCTCCTGGTGGGCGTCATGCCTGGTCAGGGCTAAGAAGAAACCGTTGACATGTTAAACATAGGGTGTTTGGCACATAGCAGGTGCCTGAGAAATGATCGTTAGAACTAACCTGAAATTTAGGTACAGCACCAAAGTTTGAAATCAGTCTTGCCCCCTTGAGAACCCCAACCTCTCTCTCCTTGCCTTTTCCATCCCAGCAACTCCTGTGTCTTGCTCTCTCATCCACCTGACTCATCAAGACCTGAGCTCTGTGGCCATCTTTCCCATTCAGGATTAAAGGGCTAACAAGAATCCTGCTTCTTTTTTGCATTAAGAAATAGTATCAACGCCTTGATGTGAAAAGATGAAATCTCCCATTGAGTTCCCTGGGAGTTTTAGGAAGCCAAGCAACAGTTCTTCCAGGTTCCGTGTTGCTATATTTCCGGTGGTTATCTTAGGGTTGGGCGCAATCTCCCCCACCCCTGGCAAAGGTAGACAAAGCTTTGGTTATTTATTACTACCAATATTTGACTTGGTTGTAGGGCATTTGACTCCCTGCATCTTGTTCCACTTCATTATTTTTGAAACTACTATTCAGGTGCAATCCCTAGGTTCGAATCCAGGTGAATCATCTAGTAAAGTGTGTTGAATGTGAGCTGTTACTAGTGAACAATGAAAGTTGAATTTATTTCCCTTCCCTACTCTAGGAGGTGATGAGATAAAGAGTTCTCATGGAGTCAATCCCAGCACCTGGTTTCCTCATGCAAGGGAAGATTCAAGCTGAGTAAATGACTCCCCATTTAATAATATTAAGTGTTAAATGGATGATATTAAAGGATTAATATTAAATTATTAACTAATAATAATTCTTAAAGAACTATTGTTTACCAGTAATAATAACTGCTTACCACATGTCAGATACTATACTCCATGCTCTTCAAAATTCATTCAATTTTTAGAGGAACCTTGTAACAACTACTGTTCACAGGTTGGGGAACCATATCTCAGAGAGATTAGGTAGCTTTTCCGAAGATACACAGCTAGTAGACCAGCTACAAGTTAAACAAGGGGTGTCTGTCTTGAAAATTTTGGTCCTAACAACTGGAGGCTCCTTTGTATTGATAAAAAAACACCCAGGAAACTCCAGCTAAATTATCTAAAGCTTCTGGCAGAGTGTCTAGCAGAAGGCAGAGCAGGTTCACCTATTCCCTCTCAGCCTCTGTGCAGTCCTCTCTAGTGTTGCTTATTTGCCCGCAGGTCAAAGCCCTCTCTCTCATGACTTGGGTGAAATTGGCCCTCTACTTAGAGGTGGAATCTCCCGGAGACCTGGGGCTATATTTAAAGGCCTTTAGAAATTAGAAATACCTTTAAAATCCAACCTTAATTCATCTTAGCATTTAAAATGTACTCTGCAGCGCAAGTGTTTGTCATAGGTACGAACAAAAGGGAAAATCTACAGAATCATTTAATTACTATTTTCCTTAAGTTGATAAGCATATATATTTTGATATATCTCTTAATGGATTCAAAATGACCTCAAATTTTTATAGCAGTTGGGGGGGGGGCTTGTTTTACTGAAGAGTCAAGCTAATTTATCTTCAAAGTAGGTGATTTAGGTACTTTTTGAAAGTGTGATATTCTATTGCATGCTTATGACTCGATTAGATCAATGATTTGTAGTAAATAATTTCAAATGTTGGACAAGCCCTGGGTGTTTTCCAATAAAGTGGGAGGCTCTGCTTTGATGGTGGACAGAGGCCACCATCTTTTTTCATTGTTACCCTACTTCTAGGAAAAATGATGTCTGTTAGATTAGAACACTTTTCTCCCAAGTAGTGAGAAGGGACAGAAGAATTTTCAGTTCGTTTCTGATCTTCCACCCAGAAATGCTTTCAAAAGGAAGTTATAGTTGGGTTTTTCAGAGTTAGCATTTCCTGCCTCCTGGCTCTCCAGATTACTGGGCTGTTTTAAAGCCTAAAAAGGGAAATGGGAAGAAAAAAGGGGAAGTCACTGAATCTACCCTCGGAAAAAAAACCCTTGCTTTCAGGCAGCTGCGGCTGGAAAGACTTCGCTGTGTTCAGCGTGCATAAGGGGGTGGGGAGTCTACATGTTTTAGAAATTTTACTGTTTCTAAGGAGGCAGCCAATTTCTCATTTCAACCACACATGCATGCAAAACTCAAGCTCTTGCAGAGAGGCAACCAGCAACTATTGTTTAAAACGTTTTAAACGGAATTCGGATGGCTCTTTTCTCTTTCGAGTCTGTGTGCCAAATGACAGGGACGGATACTCATTTTCTTTTCCTCTGAAACTCGGGAAAACACATAAGAACCCAGAAATGCATTCCTTAAAGGGACTTCGCGCGGTTATAGTAAATAATTTATATACACGCACATACATATATATACCCCGTGCACAATTTTTTCCTCGTTTTACACTCATGAAATCAGTCGCTGCGATAACTGAAATTCACCCCCTCAGACTGGGACATTTGAGCTGGCCTTGCAGCTAAAGAGCCAAAATGCCTGGAGCCGCGTAAGCTGTCCGTCTCTAGTCTACTGACTCACAGCTATTGCCCAGCACCTCGCCGAGCGCGCTCCCGTACAAGTTGCCCGTCTTATTAGCCCGGGTCTGAGTTTGCGCGAGTGCAGCTGTCCGGCCACAGAGGGAATACGGCGTATACGGGGAGCCAGTGACCTAGGTCCGTGGCTGCAAACTGCTCTCTCCTCCTGTACCCCTCCTGCCGTACCCCAAATTCCTTTTTCAAGGACAGCAACTGCCCAGGCACCCCCCTGGAATGTTGATTATGAGTTTCTCCTTGAAACGTTTTCCGATTCCATCTTCCTTAATCCAGTTGGCTAGGAGTGCGATAGGACTCTGGGGTTCTCTCCACCGCCGCCCGCCACCACACCATAGGGGTGGCCTGGGTGCGCCAGACGTGGGCAGGTGGATGAAGAGATAAGCCACCAACACACCTCTCCGCGGGTTGCAGGTTGCGCATTGAGGTCTTTGTCCGCTTGCCCTTCAGCGGGGGCCTTATACTCCGGTATATGGCCGGCAGGTGGCGCAGTTGGTTCACGAAGAGCCGCTGTGGGAGAACGGAGCTTCCTTCTCCTTGAGGGTCTTCCTCCCGCTGGGACCCAGGCTCTGGAGGAAAACCCGGCCCAATCCCGGAGGGAGCAAGAGGAGGCACGGCCTCGGAGGAGAGAAAGAAAGATGTCTCGTCAGGAATCGAGACCCCTGCAAACGTCCGGAGCAATGCACCTGGTCGTAGCGGGGGCCAGTCCCCGGGCCGCCGGCTGCTTTGCTGTCGCCGAACGGCGCTCAGGTGGCTGAGCCCGCAGCCATGGTACGGGGGACAGACTAGGGCCCAGTAGTGCCTGCGCCTCCGGAGAGTCAGCTGTAGCACCCGCGGCACCTCGGCAGGGGCCGCAGAGCAGATTTCTGCGGCTCCCGCTGCCCACCACCGTCTCTTGGGGCAAGGAGAAGTGTCGGGACCTGCTCAGGGCAGCGGTCGGAGCGCAGAGCTGCAGCAGCCGCTCCGGACAGCTTCCGAGTTCCCATTTGCGGTGTCTGGGCAGCGGCGGGCCACCACATTCCTACTTAAAACCTTGGCTTCTGATTCCCTGTGCCCGGGACTTGCTAAGCCGGGTTCCAGGGACTTCCCCTGGGAAACACATAGTTGGCTCCCTGCGTACTGGGCCATCTCAGAGCGTCTTGCTGCGGTTGGGAGTCGGGGCCGGGATGAGACCCTCGGCGTGAGCGCCGAGGTGGGGCCAGAGCGGAGCTTCTCCGCTGCTAGAAAGTAAGTCGTTCAGTTTCAGAGCTAAGACAGAGACTGAGCCTAGCTTCCGGCTACGCGCTGCACCAGACGATGGGGACCGCTTAGGTCTCCGCTCCCCGGGCATCTAGGGAGCCTGGGAATACAGGGTCAATCAAGCCACAAAATTTCCTTCAAAGGGCGTTTCAGATAGAGATGCGCTATAAAGACACGAAACAGGGCAAGGTAACAGAGGGTGGCTTTGGCCGTGCGCAGGAGTAAGTGTGCAGCCCCGGCCGCCGCGGCGCGCGGGACGCAAACGCTTCGACCCTCGGAAAAGAGCAACAGCAAAGAGGCAGGTCAACTTTATATTTATTTTACTACAATAAAAGGGCCTTTTCCTCTGTCTCGAATTGTCCTTAGGGGGAAGAGGTGGTTGCTAACCTTTCCTCCGCCTCCCCGCAGTCAATTCAAAGCTTTCGAAACTTCTTCTCCTGCCCAGGGGCTGGACCCCTGAGGTGAGGTCTGGGGACCCCGCCACCTCCCTCCGGCGGGGGCGGGGACGCACGCAGAGTTCGCCCCCTCAAGCCTGGGGAGACCCAGCGCCCCGCTGAGCCCCGAGGGGCGGGGGCTTAGGGCGGGCTTTGCTCAATAGGGGCGGGGCCAGGTCGCTCTGTTTATGCGACCATTGGCCGCGAGCTCCGGACTGGCGGGTGGGCGTCACGGGCCGGGTCCACCTCCTTGGCAATGTCTTCAGCTTGCTGCACTCCTAACTTAAGCATTTATTCCACTGGGATAGAAGCGGTAGGAGCAGCGTTGGCACCGGCGAACCATGGCTGGGATTTTCTATTTCGTCCTCTTTTCGTTTCTCTTTGGGATTTGCGACGCTGTCACCGGTTCCAGGGTGTACCCCGCGAATGAAGGTAAGAGCGCGGCGGCCTTTCTGCGGTCGGGGACGGAAAGCGGACGATCCACCGGTGAATGCTCCTCGGAAGCGCGAGGCCGGCCGGTGTGTGCGGGGTGCAGCGAGGGGGGGCAAATCCCGGGGTGAGCGGTGCGCCCAGACTCGGGAGAAAGCGTCTGAGGCGAAGGGATCTGCGAAGGGGTGGCGTGGGGCAGCCGAGTAGCCTGACCCGGGCACTGACCCGTGCTTTCGGCGAGGCTGCCCAAGTTTGTAGCGAAAGGACAAAGTTTATCAGCATCCGCCAGTGGGGCCAGCTCGAGGCGTCCTAGAGGATACACGGGAGGCAACGCCAAAATTTAAAAAAAATAATAATAATTCTGTGGCCCAAGTCCTCCCTACCACCACTTCCCCAGCCAGCCCCAGTCGAGGGGGAAACGGAAGCCTGGATCCTGGTGAGGGCTTGGTGCTCCCGGGTTCTTGTGGGAAGCTTTCGAGCTGTGGTTTCTGCAAAGTTTCCCGAGCCCTGCGCTTCCTGGGACCGTGCTGCGGGGCCTCCGCTGCGCAGCGGTCGTGGTGAGGCTCGTCGGTAGCTAGTGACCCGATTTCTAACATCGGCGTCAGACACCTTTCTCCCCGCTGGGCTCCACGCATCAGGGGTGCGATCGCTAGTCTAAGGGGCCCCACGCTACACAGATCACCCCGCAGACTTGGTGAACCCACCGGCAAGTTAAACGTACTCGAGTTTTTGCTTTTTTTGCCCCAGAACTGTACGCTGGGTTAGTTTGGAGGGAACGCGCGGGACCGACTGGACTCGTCTCGGTGCTCGGTGTTCTGCTCGTCTGTTTGGACGTGCTGGAAGGATTGTGTGTGTCTCTGCGTCGGGGAGGTGGGGGTTGATCATTCAGTTTCTGATGATCTCAGAGACAGGCGAGTTGAGTGTGCGTGTGTATGTGTGCATGTGTGTCTATGTGTGTATGCGCGCTCGCGCAAATGCGTGTATGTGGTGTGTGGGTGCCCGCGTGGACGCGGACGATTTCGTGTCTGTGCACGAGTGCCCTGATTGTGTGCGCGTATGTTCCGGCGAAAGCTTGTGTTGGAGCCTGCGCTCATCTCAGTCTCGAGTCTGTCTCGCCTCTCCTTTCACCCCTCCCCACCACCACATCCATCCATCATCCATCCATCCATCCACCCACCCATTCATCCACCCATCCATCCACCCACCCATCTCTTCATTCGTCCAGTCTCTCCAGGTCCGTCCATCTAGCCTGTGCAATCTATTATTTTCCGTGTTCCGAAGGAGGGAGCCAAAAACCAACTTAGCCTTGGCTGGGCAGTCGGTACCCAGAGTTCGCCAGACGGAGGCTCAGAGAGATTCACACACCTGCCGGCAGGCACTGCTTGGGAGGAAAGGGGCGCTCTCACGCGCTCCCTGTCTTCTCCTTCCTTCCGACGTGGCTCTAGGTGCCATCTCGGTCGCTGCCGGCCCTGGATCCCCACGGTTAATTTTCTTATCTGAGTCTTGGATCCCACGTTCTTCTGGTTACTGTGCACACTTGTTAGGACGTCCCCCAAGACCTCACTGCATCAGAGGCAGAGATTTCTTTTCTTTTCTCCCCCGCCCCCCATTTCTTGTTTTTTCTTTTGGAAGCAAAACTTGGGAGCCCTAGACACAAAAGGCGCTGATGGGGCCGTAGGCTGATGTAGAAAGAAGCGGGATGGGGGGGAGTCACCCCCCTCTCGCACCCCTCCTCCCCCTTAAAAATTAATTCATTTTGTTGCTTTTTATTCCCCTCACGTTTCCTTTTCTCCCTTTTACCCTCCCTTTCTACTCCCTCCCTTTTTTTGTAAATTGGGTCTTATTGTTCCCTTTGTGTCCCTAATCCACCTTACATAAATCCAAATGGATGTAGCGGGCTTTTCTCTAGGGACCCAGAAGAGAGAATGAGGCCGGCGGTGGGGGTGCAGCTCCGGGCGGGAGAGACCCAGGGAAGGCTCTACATTTTAAAATAATTAACGGACCCCAGGAATTCAGGCTTCCCGGGAAAACCAGGAGAAAGAGGCCGATTTTAACTCCTCTGACTTGGTGGTGCAATGAGAGGAGAACTGGGCAGAATTCAGAGGCCTGGGGCGACATTGAGGGCTGGGGTGCGCAGGGGCAAGGACGGAGGCTTCCTATCCCCACCCCTCCCCCAACCCGAAGTAAGAGCCAGCCTCGCTGATCACATTCATAACCCAGTGGTTCCTTTGAGATGGGCCTTTCGACCCCCAGGCCTGCAGACCTCGGTGGGAAAGAGAACGTGGAGAGGCTAGGGAGCTCCTGCGTCCTTTTCAGCGTCCCAGGTGCCCAGGACTGCTCCAACGAGGGCGGGATACGGCAGCTCGGTAGCCGCGCCCGCGGCCCCCCTGAGCTTCGATGCACATCCTGAGGTGAAAGCCCTCGCAGACCAGCTCGACTCCATATCTAAAATACGAACCAGTGATTTCCCCTCGGGTGGAGGAGGAGTCTCAGATTGTCCTCAAAAAGACCTGGGGAAAAGAATAAATAATTCAGTTCATTTGCATTCTAATTCTCCACGTCTGCCACCCCCTTCCCCCCCATTCTGAAACTTTGATATTTAAAAAAGCAGCGGATACCACATCCAAGGCCGATGTATTTGGTGGTGGAGGGGGCAAATGGTAGGGGAGAAAGCCTTTTCATGACCCTGTGAGTACTCTCAGATAGAATTCACTAGTGGCCTTGTCACTATGATGATGAGTTATGCGGTCATCTGAAACTTGTAAAAACAAATAACTCCAGTAGACACCAGACAGAGATGAATGCAGATTTTGCTCTGGAGTGCAACTGCCCTACATAGATATATTTATTTTTTTGAATTGTACTTGAGATTCTCTATTCATCCTTTTTAGAAAATGAATCAACCAAGTCCTGGGATGGAATTTTAAATGCTAAGCAAGTTAAATAAATAAGAACTTGCAGATTTAAAGAGGGGAGAAGATCAAGTGAGTAATGATTATTTACATAAGTGAGACCAAGTTTAGGTTTTGATCAGAGTTGGATATGCGCACCCTCGGCACATATGGAAACGCTCAGGCAAATGGTTTTTGTAGTATTGGCTTTTTGCAATTGGAAATTAATCTATTTTTCTTTGTTTTTTTGCAGTTACCTTATTGGATTCCAGATCCGTTCAGGGGGAACTTGGATGGATAGCAAGCCCTCTGGAAGGAGGGGTAAGTTCCAAGCCGCTCTCTGCTCCGAAGGGTAAAAAAAGGAGTGATTAGCAACTTTCTGAGAGTCCTAATGGCTTGATTCTTGTTGATTGTGGTGAGGGGGTCAGATTTCCGCCATGGCCTATGAAGTGAATTACGCTTTGTTGCAGAAATCCTATACTCCCCTTGGATGGGTCTGTCATGGAAGAACTAGAAACCAAAAGGGCAGAAAGAGTTTTCGAAATTAGGAGATTGGTAGAGGCATAGACTTAGATGCCTAGTTAAAACTGAAATACCAACAAGAAATGCAACCCAGGGACCACTTTTAGAATTTATGTCTCTTCTAGTGTGACGGCTATGAAGTACCAACAGGGTTAATGTTAGAACAACTGTCCCGTTTTCCAGACTGAATAACTAAAGATACCAGGGAGAAAAGTCTGTCATTGTATCCGTTGCAGGTTCAGTTGTGTGCACAAGTAGCAGGAGCTCCTTACCTGGCTCCCAGGGCAACCTGAAATCAGCTGTTGTGCTCTTGCACACCGAGAGAAAGCCTCATGAACTTGTGCCCGGGGCACATGCAGCAGACACCGCAAGCTTGAGCCTTGTTGGTGCTAAATGCAAAAAGTTCAAGTATTTGGAATCTTGGATCTTTGGGGATGTGGAGGCTGCATTATAAGTATGAAAGAGAACGCACTATTCATTCCTCCTCAAATTTGCCATCACTGCCTCCACTGGAAGATTCAGAGAACAGAATTAGGTTGTTGGCCACATTCTCTCACCCTGACCTTACCCCTTAACGACAGGTCGGAATGAATCAGCTTTGGAAAGAAATGAGTACAAGATGTATCTCTGGCTTTTGCCAAATTGAAATAACTTTCAAGTCCTTTAAAAATTAGGCATATTATCCTGCCTTTATGTGAATGATAGTCTGTGACTGAGCCAACTGGTTAAAAACAATAGGGACGGAAGGAAGATGAGGAGTTTTTACCAGGCAAAAATTATAAGGCCAGCACCCAATATGGTGCTTCAGCCTGTCCATTGAATGAGCAATAAAAGATGAAAAGAAAAATGAAGACTCACAGAAACTGTTCTAGAAGACGGGTTTCAAAAATAAAGACAAGAAATGGTCATGAAAATGGAGAATTTTAGGCTGTCTTTTTCCAGAGCTGTTCTTGCAATCCATTTTAAATGAAACGGAGATTGCCCTGCCTTCCTGTTTTGCTGCCTGAACTTGACTGCCGTTAGTTGGGTCTCTGCTGAAAGATTCCAGTCTGCCCTCAAAACCATTTTTTTTAAGGGGAGGGAGAATGATTGGCAGGCTTCTGGCAGTGTAGACAGGCTGTATTCACTGCTGATTGCAGGCAATTGCCCTCATCCTTTGAATGCGAAGAAAGGTACAGCTTTATCTTGTGAGAGTCAGACTCTTGTTAATCCTATACCCTGGAAAGGTCACTGATTCAGGAAGGCTTTCCCATGCTACACGAGGGGTATTGCTCTGTAGGTTGAATGTATTAGAACTCTCGGCTATATTGAGGATGGAAGGTGTTAGTACTTGCATTAAAAATTTTAATGAGCCTTATTTTTCTTACTGGCTGCTCTCAGGCTTGAAGAGAGAATGCATCAAGTTATGACTTTGCATCTGACCTGTTACGCTAAATATACATGGACCTATTTAAAAGCGAGGAGTGACACATTTTTTAGTACAGTCTATGGTCTATCTAGTTTCTGGAAAGCTTTTACTGCAATTTAATATGCCATGGACTCCACACACTCCGCCACCCCCCCCCCCTTTGCTGAACTGCTGAAAAAGCACCTGGTCACTTTTTCTAGACATAAAACTTCTCTCTGTTGTCTTTAAGTCTCTTAAAAAATACTGCGTATACTGATTATTGTATACAACCCAGAACTTTTTAGGCGCTGAATGTAGATAGCTTTCCCTTTCCTTAAATGTATATAGCACTTTAGGTATTATTGTGAGGGGTTTATTTGTGCATGAGAGAAATAGTCATTCCAAAATACATAATAGCTACTGAGAAACCATGTGCCAAATTATACAATTTAATTAATCTCTATATTTTGTATTTAAAGAGGATTTTTTCAGGCCTAGAGTGACAGATGAATTCAACATCTCCCAAGTAGGAATAGATTGACTTTCAAAAGCTCTTTCTAGCTGAGGGGGAAAAGCATTTTTGATTATTCTGAAATCTCTAGTTAGAATTACGACAGATAACATCTTTGCTGGAAACTTAGAATGAGAGTTTGTTCAATAATGGCATTTATTTGTTGTTGTTGTTTCTGTTATTGTTGTTTTTAAAAAGAAAAGGAAACCTTATTTGACAATACCACCAATGAAAAAATAAAATATAGTCAGAGACAACTCTCTACTCTTTTGTTTTTCCATCCGAACAACTAAACAGAACATGAGAATAATGGAAAGTGATGGCTCCTGATGGCAACATTGTAGCAAACCCCTAATTTCTCGGCAGTGTTCATTTAAAGGAGAATATTGAGTTTCTGACATTGATTGTAAAATCTAAAACTAAGGCGATATTTGTCATTGTTCTGGTGAATTGATCAGTGTGTTTAGACAATCAAGTTCAGGCTGGAAAATTCATGTTATACCTGAGTTATCCCATATGAACTTTTTGGAGATATCCCTATGTGCTTTCATTTACATTGACAAATGTGTTTTTCCATATTCCCTTTGTTCTGAGATGAGAAACATGATGAGTACTTTTTTTTAAGGTGGGGATCTATTTTTGGATTTACATGAATTTCCCCAAATAAGTAAATTACTGGTGATTTATTAGTTAGTGGATAAAAAGAAATTTTAATCACCGCAGGGTACTTATCCCCCCCAATTCCAACTTTCATAATGATAGCAGATGAAAGAGATACAGAATTTTATGCATTATGGCCCTGCACATAGAAACATTTCCATCCATTAACGGTTTTCCAATGCACAGATGGGAAACCCGTTAAAAGATGCAGTATGATTCTATGTACTCCTTTTATTGAATGGAGTTTTAAGTGGAACTATTATAGAATACACATTTTTTAAACTATCCTTTTTTCTTTCAATTATATTCATGTGTTAGATATTTAAGCTGATATATACCAGATCTATATAAATGCAGTACTTGTAGATATTAATTAAGAGCCTTGCAGGATCCCCAAAACAATCTTGCTTCTTTTAGGATTATTTTTTAAAGTACGGAGAGAGTGAAATTATTACTTTAGTCATAGTAAATTCTAACTGTCCTGCCGTTAGGATCTTTGTTAAAAAGTAGATTACAAAGAAAACTCTACCATCGTTTTTAAAAATTTCTTGAGCTTTCAATCACAAATAGAACCTATTATTTTACTTTCAATATCCCCAGAATATTAAAAAGCAAAGCACAGGTGTGTTCTTGTTTACTTATGTATATATCTGTTTTAAAAGTAGGAACAACATACAAACATTTCATTGAATACATGCTGTTGACGTGTCCCACCATTACAAATGACTGTATCTGAGAAATCAAACCAGAAAGTTTACTCTTTCTCTTCCCAGGATTACCAAAACCAGAATGGTGAGATTTTCTTCCCCCCTTTAAAGAATAGTAACAGTGCCAAAAAGAAAAAGAAAAGAAAACCCAGTGGCTTTTTTTTTTTTTTTTTTTTAGTATTAGCAAAGTTCTGACAGGAGCACCACTAATTAACTGATAATTGTCTTCCTTTGGCAAGCTCTCCTCTTCCTGCTCTTAATTTGCAGGTCTCTGTTCAGTTGTTGAAACAATACACATACTAGTTTTTCATTTATGAGTAAATTTGAACTGTTGCCACTTCAAATTGTAGCTGTTGTAATAGGTGAATTTGAGGTTGTTAGACCACCACAAGGAAATGCTGAGAACTCGTAAGTAATAAATCCACCATTGCCCCTAGATTTAAGGCAAAAGAATGAAGTGATTAAAAAAAAAAAAACCACTTCCGCAATAAAATATTGTCTCATCTCCTCCATAACATGCTTTACCGGTGAGGACTGGTGCTCAGTAGTTTTCTTATTGGGGGAAAAAAAAATTGAAACCCTATGAGAGTAAAATAGGATTGAAGGATCACTGTGTGATGAAGTTTCGTAACTGATACATTTCCTTTGGATCTTTGCAGTGGGAGGAAGTGAGTATTATGGATGAAAAAAATACGCCCATCCGAACCTACCAAGTGTGCAATGTGATGGAACCCAGCCAGAATAACTGGCTCCGAACTGATTGGATCACCCGAGAAGGGGCTCAGAGGGTGTACATTGAGATCAAGTTCACCCTGAGGGACTGCAATAGTCTTCCAGGCGTCATGGGGACTTGCAAGGAGACATTTAACCTATACTACTACGAATCAGACAACGACAAAGAGCGTTTTATTCGAGAGAGCCAGTTTGCCAAGATTGACACCATTGCCGCTGACGAGAGCTTCACCCAAGTAGACATTGGTGACCGAATCATGAAGTTGAACACCGAGATCCGAGATGTAGGGCCATTGAGCAAAAAGGGATTTTATCTGGCTTTCCAGGATGTGGGTGCCTGCATTGCCCTGGTGTCGGTCCGTGTGTTCTATAAGAAGTGTCCGCTCACAGTTCGCAATCTGGCCCAGTTTCCAGACACCATCACAGGGGCTGACACATCTTCTCTGGTGGAAGTCCGAGGCTCCTGCGTCAACAACTCAGAAGAGAAGGATGTGCCAAAAATGTATTGTGGGGCAGATGGTGAGTGGCTGGTACCCATTGGCAACTGCCTGTGCAATGCTGGGCATGAAGAGCGGAATGGAGAATGCCAAGGTAAGACGAGCCATATTGTACTTTTCATTAGGGCTTAGTGCACATAATTAAATCAGAGATGAGACTAAATGGAGTAGAGCCAGTAATTAGCAGCCCCTGTGGGATGTGGTGGGACAGAGGGGTCTAATGAGTAAGTGCTGTAGCTCCAGGTGGCAAGGCTGAGACCGTTCTGATAGTGACAACGTAAATGATGCTGCCGTAATCAGCAGAAGGCCAAACACATTTGCTAACAGGCACTTAGATCTGAACCGGCGAGATGCACCCTCGGAAATGGAAATGATCAAGCTGAAGAAATGGGCTTGATTGATCCTTCCTTAAAGAGGGTGGACAGATTTTCACAAATCACAGTATTCTCGCCTACGTACTTGATAAAATGGTAAATATCTCTCATTGCCTGTGTATGTACATAAACAGTTCACATGTAAAATTAGGGTTGTGTTCCAATTCTCTCAAGCTGTGTGAAGAATGCCCAGTGTTCCCTTCTTTGTGAGCCAGGGAAGACATGGTTCAACAAAGTGGATTGTCAGTGTTTTGAGGGCCCTTGTTCCACTGAGCACCCAATGATAGGGTCCCTAAGTGAAACTCATCTTGATGATTTATGGAAATCACCTGGAGGTGATAAAGAGCTAGTAAGAGTTCTCTCATTTGATCTGTGGTCAGAGGCAACATGAAATTGTGATCTGTTTTGGTTACTGAGGGTTTGAAAAAATCTAAGCATTTTTAGCATGTTGATTTCTATGTAGCATTATTACTAAAGTGATTTTTTTTTCTCACCTAAAGTTCACTGTATGTAATTCCTTCTTCCCATATGTCCCCTTTCTGTCAGAACACTGGGGAGTTGGTAAAGATTTTTCTTAAAAAATGCTTTGTTTTTGAGTAAGGGATGACAGTAGTTCATTTGTACATGTATCGCTCATGTCATGTGTGGCTTAGGCTTAAAAAACTCAGCATCCAAGGTTTTAATTTTTTTCTTGGTATTTATTTTTAGTGGTTATCAGTAGTCTGCTGCTGCCAATCTTACTGTGGTTACTATGAAACGGTGTAACTCTGGTCCCATTTATGGAACAGATCAGATTAATCTTTTCTCAGGGTGATTGTTGAGCTGCAGACTGTATTGCCCATGGTTCACCTGATTTGGTGATTAAAGAGCCTGAAATAACTGCCTGCCAAACAATTTGTCTGGCATTCCAACCATCTTAATGACACGGTGGGATTAACTATGTGGCAATCCACTTGACTGACTGGAAATCAACAATTATAACCTCAAAAATTACATTTTTGATAATTCGGTGTTGTAGAGTTACGCATTTCTCCTTTCATAGTTTATACGTTTCCACAGTGTCATTCTTGATTGGCTGTGGTTATTTCTGGGAGTAGCTAACAATGAATGTCTTTTAATTTAATTGTAAATAAAACAGAATAAAGACTGACTACCTTTTCTGTTGACCTGGAGTAAAAAGGTAAATTTGTAAACTTAAACCTTTGAAAGTTGGGATTTAAAGTTTGCTGTTGACTTCGCAACTACAAGATCAACTGTACCAAAGTGAAACCTTGGAGTATACTCTGGTAGTAATATTAAAAAGTATATGTGTGCCAATTTATATTGGCACATAAATTACAATAATCATAGAAGGAATAGTGAAATGAACCGGGTGATGATACCACATCATATTTTAGAGTAAATTCTGCCTTTTCAATTTTTGCAAGGCAGGACATGCACATCTTCACAATGTCAAGATAAATATATATATATATATAATTGTCTTTTCATTTTCTGCTCAAATGTTCACATGTCTGGCATTAGAATCTCTCTGTATCTAATGCCATTGATTTTCAATTGTCACAGAGCCCAGTAACTCATATGTTGCTCTACTGTGAAACTCCTTGACAGTTTTACAACCCAAATTAGAAGAAAAAGAGAAAAAGATGGAGGGGGAAATGAATGTAAAGGCAATTGAACACGTTAGTGGTTTGTTTTATGGAAATAATCTTGGGACCACAGTTAATCATGGGGTTCATGGAAGAGGAAGGACTCCATGTTTTAGGTCCAGTTCATTTCTGAGAAAACTGTTCCCAGCACAGGGTCAGATAGCTAATGGAAATGGAAGGTTGGTTGAGCCATTCCTAAGGATCTTTGGTATTTTCACATCTCCCCAGGGTTTTTTTTTTCTTTCCTACTCATAAAATGACTGACTCTTTTAAGAGACTCCCCTTTTTCCTTTTTTTTCTTTTTTTGCACAAAACCTTGCACTTTGTTTGCTTCTTTGTTTATGATACTCCCAGTGAATTTAGGAAGAAAGGAGCACCTTGAATGACAAAGGATTCTTAAATTCCAAACTTAGGTGAGACATTTTAAAGGCTATAAAAGTCTAAGGAGTAATAAAAATGGTTGTCTCCATCCTTGGCGACATTAGTGTGGTTTCAGAGAAACATTCAAGAGGAGAAGAAGGGACATCAACCCAAGGAAATGTGTCTCAGTTCGGTCACTTAGCTGTGTGACCTTGAACATGTTTCTTAGGCCCTGTGAGCCTTGATTTGTTCCATCTATAAAATGGGTTGATAATAGCTGCACTTATCTTAGGGAGTGGCTCTGAAGACATGGAGCTCTCAGAGTGGTAAAAGTCACCTTGTAGATCATAAAGCATGGAACTGGTGTTATTACTAGCATTCCCTTTATTACTCTGCTCTTCCCAAGGCCCTGGCTGATGACTTCAAAAGGTGCTGAGCTGAAGCAGACAAAGGGTGTTCATCTCCCAGCCACTTTTGGAAGCCAAGGCTAAAAATAGGAAGAATTGCCCTTGTCCTAACAAAGAATAATGTCCATTTTCACACTTCATATTGAAAATGATATTTGGAGAGTGTCATTTTTTTTCCCCTGAAGGAAAGCAGACCTTCCTTTGAGTAAGAGAAAAGCGATTTGGGGCGGGACAAGAAAGAGGAGGTGTGAAGAGAGCTTAAGAAGGGATACAATGGAGAACTGGCCAGGCCTCCGAAGTCTGGCAGCAGGTTCCTCCCCAACGGTCTTTTCAATGGGTCTGCTGCGGCAGGACAAATAGAAGAACAGGTGAAAGGTCGCCTCCTCCCTCATCCATCTTCCTCGGGGTCTGGGAGGTCAGAGTGAAGATTGATTAAGATCTTAAATGTTTGACAAAGGAGCCCTGGGCAAAAATGGGCAGGGTGGGTGGGGGCCTGGGGCATGCTGTTGTTTAAATCTAACCCTGGTCATCTGCCGGAGTCCTCAAGGGACCTTGGGGACAGAACTACACTTCCTCTTGAAGTTCTTACTTCCAAGCAGTACATGCTAATGGAGACATGAAGAGCTGCCTCCAAAGTGTCTGGAGCGGCAGGGTGATGGCCGGCTTGCCCTCTGAAGCCGCCGCAAGTTCATTGTGCTCTTGAATAACAGTTTCTGAAATGATTTGGCTCGGCCTCAGCAGGACAACAGAGTGTTAGTCACTCATCTGCCCTCCCCGGGAGAATGGCTGGCTGGCCTTTGCAGGGGTTTGAACTTGCCTGGTGACTGGGTGCAGTGGATAAGAAACTATTCCAGTTAGTTAGTCTAGTGACCAGTCCTCCTCAGATAGTCAGAAAAGGAAACAAAATCCACCTCAGACACTGAGCCCCCCACCCGGTACACACAGGCATTCCCCTCGGCAAGGAAATCTTCCAGATGTTTTACAGGGATGTTTTTATTACCTCAGAAATATTAAGCAGAAAGCAGAGAGGAAAAGATTCTTTATGAACTTATTTTTTGTTTAATTAAAAAGCTAAAAAATGAAAGACACATATTCACTCTGAAATATTAATAAGCAATATTTTCAGAAAATATATAGAAAAATACAACTAATAAAAACGAAAACATTTTTATAGAGCCACTCTTAAGGCCAAGTAAGTGATCACAATTGTGACAAAATTTAGCCAGGTAGTAATCAGGTCTTGCTAAAATACACAGTTTTGCTATCAATTGCTCTGGGTCATATATGTCTGGAGCCTATATTATATATCATTATATATGTGGGATATATATATATATATATATCTCATTCATATCAGCAAAGATACCTTGTTAGATGCTCTTTTGAGAAATGTTTTGATGGCTGTAAAATAGATTTCAAATTTGTGCTCTGAAAGGAGTTGGTAAAAAAAAAAGAAAGAAAGTCATGATAACTTTGTTTTCCTAAGGACCTTAGGAGAAGGAAGTACTGCAGAGGAAGCATTTAAAGTACAGTTCAGAAAGATGCTGTTTTATGTCCTTTTTACTTTTAAAATTTTCTTCTGCCTTTGAATAGTGTCTTTAAGAATCAATTGCTTGAATCCCATGGCTGCTTTTATCCCAGCTTTGAAGCGTGGCTGTGATCATTGAAAGACGCAATTCCTTATATACCAGAAGAACAGGGTTTAATTATTGTCCTTTTTCTGTTCTACTTTTTTATTTCTCCTCCTTCAGGCGACCAGGCCTCTTTTTGAGTGTGAATGAGGCAATGGTCTCAATTTTGTGTTCACCAAAGCATCACATAGGTATTATCTCAGTTAGGGATTTTTGAATATAGTATTTAAGATTTGATGATTTATTTTAGTCTAACTGAGCTTCCTTGTACCTTTCAAAAACGAATTAAGACAATTATTTTTTAAAGACATGAGGCTGTAGGAAAAAGGCCGATTAAATGGCTTTTCAGTTACCACTGTGCAAAACAGAGGTGGTCGTGATATGTTTGACTTTCACATCATTGAACTTTACTACTTAAGGTTTTTTTTGGATATAATTGATGAATTTAATATTACTATAGAACTACATACTTAACTCTTACTCAGAATTTTTAGGAGTTACCACACCTTACAGTTTGGCAAGTAACCCAAACAGATCTTTATATATTTATTTTAAAAAACTAACAAATGGAATTATTCTTATAATTGTCACCTTGTTTTTTGATACTTGACTGTCACATTAGAGAAAATAAGTTAATTCTTCATAAATGATTATTAAATATTCTATAGTAGAA